GTGAGCGGGAACCGGTCTGTATGTGGGATCCGAACCCTTGGCGGGAGCGCCGCCGCGCTTCGCAAGCGGCGCACTACAGCAGTGCGCCACCGGGCCAGCCCTGGACATTCTCCAAAATAATTGAAAATGTCAAAGTCATGATAGACAAAGACTGAAGAACTGTCACAGAGAAGACTAAGGAGGTATTACAACTACATGCAATGTGGAATCCTGGATTAGATCAAAGCCTGAGAAAGGACATTAGTGGGGAAACTGGTGAAATCCTAACAAAGTCTGTAGTTTAGCTAATAGAGTGGTACCGATGTTAATTTCTTAGTTTTGGTATTTGTACCATTTTTGTGTAAGATGTTAACATTATGGAAAGCTAGGTAAAGGGTATACAGAGATGTACTATTTTTGCAACCTTTCTGTAAGTCTAAAATTGTTTTGAAGTTTCAAAGTTGAAAAAAGAAGCCAAGTAAGATGTTAGTATAAGTTTACTCGACACTTGCCTCATATAGGTAAAGCTTTTGTTTTAGTTTGGCCTCTTTATCACAGTAGGGTTGGGTTTATGACTGCTATTTCAAAATTTTTACGAGGGAAAAGAAAAATATGTGAGCCTGCATACTAAAAAGTTAACTTCAGTTAACAGCAGGAATTAGAAACTCCCATAAATACAGTGATTACAAAATTAATTGGAATAATAATGAGAAACTGAGATAAATGTGCTAACATTTTTGACATCACAGTTTTTAATATTTTCCTAGCTCCAGGGCTGGGTTTAAAAGCTTTTAGGGTTGACTTGGAAACATGCATTATCTTCTGATATTTATGTGACTCAATAGATGGACATGAGTAAGCTGGCCTATCTTATCCTAGATTGCAGAATTATTGTGTTAGAACTATATGTTGTAAACTGCAAGGGAAAAATAGTGGTGGCTGCTGTTTTGTGACTGACAAGAAAGAAAATTAACTCATAGCTTATAAGTGGAGGTTATAAAATAAGTGCATATTTATTTGTGTATATTTATAAAATCTTCTTTTGCTATCCTGTTGAGTTTTGATCACACGAAAATCACAAAAACGCAAAAATTCTTGCCATGTGAAGATTATTTGTCATGATTATAAGAGATAATTGTGGCAAAACACAGCAGAGTTTAACATGCAATCTAACTGACTGCATAAAACATGTTTATCTCAGTTCTGCCCCATAAATGAGTTTTAGGGTCATTATACCTTGTACTAATATTGAGCAACTGTTAAGTTGAGTATGAGCTAAAAGCTCTGGACTTTGGTAAGCAAGAGCCCTGGTTCTTGTCTTGGCTTTCTTGTTAACTAGCTAGGGAACCTGCAGTGTTTGTATAATGCTTTAGCATTTAACTCTCATAGACTCCTATTTCCTTTTCTGCAAATAAGAGGGACATTGAATTCAATCAGATTTTATGGACCAGTAAGTTTTCTTTAAAAAACAATTTGTTAGACGTATGTGGGGTGCCCAAATGTTTGTTTTGCCAAGTTAGAAAGCTATCATGAATACAGGGCTATCAAAACTAATTGGGAATGTATGTGTTACATTTCAATACAAAGTTTAAAAAAAAAAAAAACTAATTGGGATAATAATGAGGAACAGAGATAGACCACATTTTTCAAAAACAAGAAAACCCAAACTACCATTTATAGTCACCGCCTCTTCATAAAAGAAAGAATTTTTTAACATCACAA